TGACTCATTGGAAAAGACCCTGATGCTGGGAAAGATTGAAGGCAGGAGGAGAAGGGGACAACAGAGGATGAGATGGTTGGATGGCATCACCGATTTGATGGACATGAGCTTGAACAAGTATCAGGAGTTGGTGATGGACAGGGAAGCCTGGTGTGCTGCAGTCTATGGGGTTGCCAAGAGTTGGACATGACTGAGCGACTGAACTGAACTGAATGGATGACCATTGGTAAAGTTAAACCCTACTCAAAATATCCCTCCTCATTAGTGTTTTTATATTTTCCTATTATGCCTGTCAGTCTCCAGAAAGTAACAAAATGGGAACTCTATGCAAAGTGGTGCAAACTGGAACTGCATACTTTCGACAAGAAGCGGGTTTCATGAAGCTTCTCAAAGTGCTGCTGGGAAACCTATGGGGTTTCTAGCAAGAAGTTATTGACAAGAGATGCTCACAGTGAGAGCTCAGCCAGTTTACATTTGAAGAGATGATGGATGAGGGCAGTGACAGGACAGGTGTGCTAAGAGGGGATGATCTGAGTATCAGAGGATTAAGAGGTCCATGAGAGAGCTGATGGTCCCCTGCATAAGTCTACAGAAATGACTGTCGAATATCAGGCAAAAGACGCTGCATCATGCTATCATTTAATTTAGTTAGAAAAATTACTGCTTGTCTGTCTCCCATTTATTATTTTTTATTACATGTAATTAAAATTGGCAGAATTTTATACTATTTAGTTTTTTGGCATAAAATTTCAAAGGAACCTTTCCCTGATACCTTATTATAAAGCATGGTTCCATTCAACAGTGGGCGGGCTTTATGTTTCCTGACCCATTCCCTGGGGTAACCAGCCCTGCCCTGTGGGAATAGGACGGCTTCCTGAAGCAGGCATGCGCCCATAACCTGGGCTCTGGGACTGCAGGCTAATGACTCCAGGGCCTAAGTGTTCCTTTAACAATACAAATGGAAAAGCAGTGAGCTCGCTCTGAGACATCAATGAGACTATCTGTTTGATGATGCTGTATACATCATAGATACACAATAAAAGATATGTTTTCTTATTTCCCCTTATCCTATCAATATTTCTCCATATTAAAAAAATTAAACCCATTTTTTATCAAGTAATTCTTTTGGATGAAGATACAGATAGTAATAACAAGATTACATAAAACTACATGCTTTTCTATCAGTGACACATGTTCACAGACACATACATAAACACAGTTATTTCTAAAAGACAGAAAAAATAGGAAAAATATATTTTAATGGGTAATATAATTCTATTTAAGAGACTCTGTTCCAAAATTCCTTATTATGAAGAAATATGAAAAAAATAGAGTGAAAAACTAGCAAACTATCATTTATATCATGCTTTGTAGAATTTGAAAATTACTCAATATAACAGCATGCTGATATACCCAAAGGGAAAAATCTTAAAATGGCTGCCAAGGAGGGATCTGGTAAAATTCAAAATTCATTCTGGATTAAAAAAAAATAGTTCAAAAGTAGGAATAACTGTAGATAACTGTTTCTTTAACAAGACAGTAACTCACAGTAATAGCAAATAATGTTCTTAATGGTGATTTACTATAGCCATTCCCACAACCATCAGATATAAAACTGATATCCACTACCATTGTATCTGATATTATTCTAGAAATCCTGGCCTTTATAATATGATTTGAAACTTTTGGAAAAGAGATGAAGATACCATTAATGGAGACAATATGATTGTTTTCCTGGAAACTTCAAGACCATGAACTAAAACATTAATCTCAAAGGAAGTTCAATAAAGACCATCAATATGAGATGACTATACACCTCCACCAAAACAATCAAAAGCTATCTTATATATTAGAAATAATAAATTAGAAGGTATACTCTAAGTAAGGTCCATTTCACAATAACAAATGTAATACAAACAGAACATGAAAGAACAAAACTGTAAAACTTTACTGAAATATAAAAAAGAATATCTGAATTTATGAAGAAATTATCATTTCCTGACTGGAAATACAAAACATTATAAAAATGTTAGCCCTAGTTAAATTGACGTACTGGTTTTAGTGGGGATTTTGGATGTTAAACTTGGTAAAATACTGCAGGTCACTTGGAACACACCAGTAGGCTAGACTAAGATTAGAGGGGAAGACAATCACATGTAAACCAATAGGAGATGCCTAGGCTTCCTTCTTGTTGCTGGGATTACTCTTCAGTCACCCAGGACTGAAACTCCTGGACCACAGGGTCATGGAAAGATGGTACCCTTCCATTTACCCCTGTAACAGCTGAGACTTAAGAAGGTTAAACAATGGAAATTGACCAGGATACAAGTCATTCCCAAATCAGTTGTCTCCAGGCCCAGACTTCTCCATATTTGCTGTTGTTCAGTCACTTAGTTGCCTCTGACTCTTTGTGACGCTATGGACTGCAGCACACCAGGCTTCTCTGTCCTTCACTATCTCTTGGAGCTTGCTCAAACTTACGTCCGTTGAGTCGGGGATGCCATCCAACCATCTCATCCTCTGTCACCCCCTTCTCCTCCTGCCCTCAATCTTCCCCAGCATCAGGGTCTTTTCCAATGAGTCGGCTCTTTGCAACTGGTGGCCAAAGTACTGGAGGTTCAGCTTCAGCAGCAGTCCTTTCGATGAATATTCAGGATTGATTTCCCTTAGGACTGACTGGTTTGATCTCCTTGCTGTCCAAGGGACTTTCAAGAGTCTTCTCCAACACCACCGTTCAAAAGCATCAATTCTTCAGCACTCAGCTTTCCTTATAGTTCAACTCTCACATCTGTACATGACTACAGGAATAACTATAGCTTTGACTATACAGACCTGTCAGCAAAGTGATCTCTGCTTTTTAATACACTGTTTAGGTTGGTCATAGCTTTTATTCCAAGGAGCAAGCATCTTTTAATTTCAGGGGTGCAGTCACTGTCTGCAGTGATTTTGGAGCCCAAAAAAATAAAATTTGTCACTCTTTCCATTTTTTTCCTTATCTATTTGCCATAAAATGGTGGGCCAGATGCCATGATCTTCATTTTCTGAGTGTTGAGTTTTAAGCCAACTTTTTCACTCTCCTCTTTCACTTTCATCAAGAGGCTCTTTAGTTCTTCTTCCCTTTCTGCCATTAGGGTGGTGTTATCTGTGTATCTGAGGTTATTGACATTTCTCCTGGCAATCTTGATTCCAGTGTGAGCTTCATCCAGCCTGGCATTTCGCATGATGTACTCTGCATGCAAGTTAAATAAGCAGAGTGACAATATACAACCCTGATGGATTCCTTTTCCAATTTTGAACCAGTTAATTGTTCCATGTCCAGTTCTAATTGTTGCTTCTTGACCTGCATACAGGTTTCTCAGGAAGTAGGTAAGGTGGTCTGGTATTCCCATCTGTTTAAGAATTTTCCACAGTTTGCTGTGATCCACACAGTTAAAGGCTTTAGTGTAGTCAATGAGGCAGAAGTAGATGTTTTTCTGGAATTCTCTTGCTTTTTTCTATGATTCAGTGGATGTTGGCAATTTGATCTCTGGTTCCTTTGCTTTTTAGCTTGTACATCTGGGAGTTCTTGGTTCACATACTTTTGAAGCCTTGCTTGAAAGATTTTGAGCATTACCTTGCTAGTATGTGAAATGAGAGCAATTGTGCAGTGATTTGAACATTCTTGGGCATTGTTTTTCTTTGGAAAAACAACTGGAAAACTGACTTTTTCCAGTCCTGTGGCCACTGCTGAGTTTTCCAGATTTGCTGGCATATTGAGTGCAGCACTTTAACAGCATCATCTTTTAGGATCTGAAATAGCTTAGCTGAAATTCCATCACCTCCATAGCTTTGTTTGTAGTGAGGCTTCCTGAGGCCCTCGACTTCAGACACCAGGATGTCTGGCTCTAGGTGAGTGATCACACCATCATCGTTATCTGGGTCATTAAGACCTTTTTTGTACATACAAACACAGTTAAAATATTAGGACATATTTGGAAAATTTTCAAGACTCTTGATTTTTGGAAGTCTAATCAGAAGGTTCTGCATCTGGAAGTCTAATCGGAAGGTTCTGCATCCCTTCAGAACACTAATCATTATCACAATCACAGTTACCACCATCACTACCACCAACACTGCTTACGAACATCATAACCATCACCATGGTTACTACCTCATCAACAGCCCCATGCCACCTTTTGTGCAATCCTTGATTGAGCATGCATGTGTTACAGGCACCATTTAAGTACAGTACGTGTATTAATCAAGGTCACAGACATCCTGTGAGCAATGCAGTAGTATTAACCTAATTTACAGATGAGAAAAGTGAGGTACAGACAGGTTAATACACTTTTGGAAGGCTACACAGCTAGTAAGAGATGGCTCTGGAGAAGAGTAATGATTCTAAATAAGGTTGAGGACTGAGAGATAGAAGGGAATATGAAATATATATGAGAACTCAACTTTTCCGACTGATTTCTAGAAGTAGTCTAGTTTCATTGCCAAATTTATTATTTTAGTAAACAAGATACAAATGTTCAGAGTGCTTCAGCTAATTGTAGTGTAGTCAAAATAGTTTTAATCTACCTATTAACAACTTAGCAATCAACTAGGTAAAAGAAAAAGCTTCTTTAAGGAACATTCTAGGCAATGTTCAGTTCAGTTGCTCAGTCGTGTCTGACTCTTTATGACCCTATGAATCACAGCACACCAGGCCTCCCTGTCCATCACCAACTCCCGGAGCTTACTCAAACTCATGTCCATCAAGTTGGTGATGCCATCCAGCCATCTCATCCTCTGTCGTCCCCTTCTCCTCCTGCCCCCAGTCCCTCCCAGCATCAGGGTCTTTTCCAATGAGTCAGCTCTTCGCATCAGGTGGCCAAAGTATTGGAGTTTCAGCTTCAGCATCAGTCCTTTCAATGAACACCCAGGACTGATCTCCTTTAGGATGGACTGGTTGGCTCTCCTTGCAGACCAAGGGATTCTCAAGAGTCTTCTCCAACACCACAGTTCAAAAGCATCAATTCTTCAGCACTCAGCTTTCTTCACAGTCCAACTCTCACATCCATACATGACCACTGGAAAAACCACAGCCTTGACTAGATGGACCTTTGTTGGCAAAGTAATTTCTCTACTTTTTAATATACTATCTAGGCAATGTTATCTTCCATTAATTGTAGAACAATAAGGATTCCCACAGGAATCCCAGTCACCTGGAAAGATGTATAGAAAACTTTGAGGACAGGGTAGGACCTCCGTCTTCATCCCACCTGTCCCTTACTCTTGTTTGGACTTGTTGGCACAGTGGAACAGAGCCCTGGCATGGTACACACCTGGAGATGCTGAGAGGCTTTCTGGTGAGCACTGTCACCTCCCATGAGCGTTTTACCGCCTCTGCCGTGGCCGTAGGGTGAGAACACTTGGAGGAACTGACTCTAATACAAACCTCTGTACTTTACTGCCTGGGCAGTTTGGAAAACGTTTTCAGTTTATGAGTCTGCATTTTCTCTTGCAGACCCAAGTTCCCTGACTCACCCATAGGTGCAGTTGGGGTGGCACAGGTGACACACGTGACTGGCATCTGCAAATTTCCAGATCAGGGTGCCGTTCTCTCCTGCGACTCCAGCAGGGCAGGTCTTGACGCAGTGAGGGCCATCAATGTAGTGGGCACACTTTACACAGTTGCCTGGTCCCTGCCCCGAGGCAGAAAAACCATTTCAGAAATCAAATATTTATTTATGTGTCTTTCAGAATGAAGTAACTTTTTACTTAAAATATATATCACGGAAAAAAAAAATCAAGCAATGTAGAAATTCTTCAAGTGGCTGAATCCTTCTCTGACAGTGTCTTACCTGATGTGACCACTGTTAGCAGTTGAGAATAAAGCCTTCCTGACTTTAAATGTGTATTGTATATGAAAACATAAAGAAACTGAACTGTGTGTTTTACTGGATTGTACTTAATACCTTGTGTGCATTTTTCCTTGTTAAAACATTGATTGGTCTACATGTGTATTTACATCCTTATCATTCAGATGGGCTTCCTTGTGAGTCATGCTTGAAGTTGAGGGGCTTCTGTGGGAAGCTGTGCTTGCCAAGGCAAAGCTAAGCAAACCACACCTGTGGTCCCTAGTGTTGAGAAGGCGGCAAGTGTAAACACACTGGCTGCATAAATTAACTGTGCTACGCTAAATTTGGTTCTGTTTGTCAGACTTGTCAATATATTAGGGCTGCTTGGGTTGCATCCGCACACTTCACAAGGGCTGAAGTAAGGTGGGTTAGGGAAGGGTCTGCCTGTTGGCTAAGCACCCTTACGTCTCAAAGACTGAGTGTTCCCAGAGCGAGAACAATCTGATGACTAAGTCAACCAATATCACCAATTATTGTGCTTCACTGATGAAAAGTTAACCCAACACTAACCTAAAAACCAGTGGTTTACTCTGTAACCAGCTATTCTGGCAGCTTGTACCTCAAAACCTTATCATCATCTGTCTGATTCAGAGAACTTCTGAAAAACATCTTCTGTCAGTAGATTTAGATATGACTGTTGAAGCGCAAATCCAAACAGAGCTCCTCATACAGGTAATAGTGAGAATTAACAACATGAACACATTGGTGTGAGAGGGATCTTCATTCTTACTTACACTCTCTAAAATATTATTACTGAATGTAAAGCAGATATGAAACTGAATTTTGAAAATTTTTTCTATGTGATTAAAAAAACCTCCTTCAAATAACTATGAACTAATGTGAAGTAAGAATGTGGTGACGTTTGATTAAGATGATGAAGCAATGGTGGCAGACGTCAGGAACAGTGAAGGCTGGTTGTCAGTGCCCTGTTCACAGTGCCCTGATCTGTGGTCTGAGACCAGGCGTCACCATGTGCGTCTGGGGGTTGGACAGAGAAGATGAACGCTCGAGCCAGGCAGGGCACATGCCAACGTCCCCTCAGTCACAGCCCCTGACGGCTGTGAGACGAGACGGGACGGGACGGGCTGGAGTGTGGGGAGTGGGCGGGATGGTGGTGGGTCATCCTTGCGGGTCTGCAGCTGATGCATGGGGATAACATCAAACGTGCTCCTTACGCGTCCAGTGCAGGTCACATTCATGGCCTGGGGCAGGCATTCTGGATGGCACTGCACACACTCGGAATTCTCCACGAACTCCCTGGGCTCTCTGACAGGAGGAAGACAGGAAACTGGTCAGCACCATCCCTACACAGCCTGCTTCCAAATGCTGTCTGGGTTCACCTGTCTGAAGGGTCAGGTGACGCCAATCACCTCTCTTAGAAAGACAAAACAATTTTATGTAAAAGTCAAACGTCTGGGAAACCGGGACTATACTGTAATATAATAAACTGATTCTGTCAGCTGAATCTTTAGTCATCTTTTCCTAGAACAAAGCAGAAGCTTCATTTATAATCAAAAGAGCTTCTCTACATTTTTCCTACAGGCACAGTGTCTGAATATTAGATAAGCCAACACGTGGGAGGGGAGAAGAAAATAGTACTTAAGAGGCACCCCCTCCTATATCAGACTCATGGATATTTAAGTTAAGCTGCAAAGAAATGGTAACTAGACCACTACCTGGGAAAGGGAAAGAGAGCTATTGAAGTTTTCTTAATGGTTATTACTGAAAACAGTAAGAATGGAACACAGGTATGAAATATTTATTGGACTATTTTAACCGTTCCTCAAAAATGGATTGATTGGGACTTCCCTGGTGGTAAAGTGGAGAGAAATCTGCCTGCCAATGAAAGGGACATGGGTCCCATCCCCGTATCTGGGAAGAGTCCACATGCCACAGGGCGGCTGAGCCCGTGAGTCACAACTAGTGAGCCTGCACGCTGCAACGGCTGAGGTCAGTGCACCTTGTTGCTCCGCAACAAGGAGGGCCGCCGCAGTGAAGGCTGAGCAACCAACTAGACAGCAGTCCCACCCTTAGCCACTGGAGAGAACCCGTGCGCAACAGCGGAGACCCGGCGCAATCAAGAATTAAATAACTAACTAAATAGCAGCAGTGAAGACCCGGTGCAATCAAGAATTAAATAAATAAATAAATAGCAGCAGTGAAGACCCGGTGCAATCAAGAATTAAATAAATAACTAAATAACTGCTTGAGGAGCTGATGTGTGATTGAAAAGATATGGTAGGTGTGGGCAGCTCTTAAGACTACTGGTCGTTAACTAGGCAATGAACAAGAAGTGTTCACACACAAAGGTATGTTCCATGCATCCGCTCAGGCAGTCAGCATCAGTGAAACCGAACGAGCCACGTGACTTTTTCCTGTGCTGCCTCTTGGGTCATCACACCCGCTATAGGGGCCAGTCTTGCCAACAGAGAAGGTGCTGCTGGACACCAGGATTCTCTAACAGGAAGACCCAGGCACCACTGCCAAGGCTGTTTTAATTACCTCGCTGCTTCAAAGAGAAAAGTGTTGAAGCTGCTAGTCAGTTTTGTCCGACTCTTTGTGACCCCATGGAAATTAAATAAATAACTAAATAGCAGCAGTGAAGACCCGGTGCAATCAACAATTAAATAAATAAATAAATAGCAGCAGTGAAGACCCGGTGCAATCAAGAATTAAATAAATAAATAAATAGCAACAGTGAAGACCCGGTGCAATCAAGAATTAAATAAATAACTAAATAACTGCTTGAGGAGCTGATGTGTGATTGAAAAGACAGGGTAGGTGTGGGCAGCTCTTAAGACGACTGGTCGTTAACTAGGCAGTGAACAAAGTGTTCACACCCAAAGGTATGTTCCATGCGTCCGCTCAGGCAGTCAGCATCAGTGAAACCGAACGAGCCATGTGACTTTTCCCTGTGCTGCCTCTTGCGTCATCACACCCGCTATAGGGGCCAGTCTTGCCAACAGAGAAGGTGCTGCTGGACACCAGGATTCTCTAACGGGAAGACCCAGGTACCACTGCCAAGGCTGTTTTAATTACCTCGCTGCTTCAAAGAGAAAAGTGTTGAAGCTGCTAGTCAGTTTTGTCCGACTCTTTGTGACCCCATGGACCGTAGCTTACCAGGCTCCTCCGTTCATGGCATTCTCCAGGCAAGAATACTGGAATGGGTAACCATTCCCTTCTCCAGGGGATCTTCCTGACCCAGGGATTGAGCCTGGGTCTACCACACTGCAGGCAAATTCTTTACTACCTGAGCCACTGGGGAAGCCCCTTCACAGAGAGCTGAGCACTGAAAGCATGAGCTTAGCATCTGTCTGCAGCTGTAAGCATTGCGCCAATATTTCTTACTTATTGAAACAATACTATTGATTATGCAAATTCCTGTTACGTTAATGAGCCTATAAGCTAAAGGAGTCCTGTGGAATTGAATTATCCGCCTTCTGAGTATTTCTGAGCTGAGCTGTAGTCCAAGCCCTGATAGTGAAACAGAAAGGAAAATTTCCTAGAGGTATCTGTAACTCCTATCTTCTTCTCTACCACAAAACCTCTCTTTTTCTTTATTTTTTTTAAATTGCCTCTTCCAGTTGCTATCCTTACATTTTGTTTTCCTATTAATTTATTTTAGTCACTATTTGTGATCATTCAAAACCTTACTCAATATCAAAATTTCCACAGAATCAACAGACTGTACTTTTTATTGACTGCAATTAATTCAACAGATGTTAAACAAACTGTTTATTTCTTTGTCCATGGTTCTATTTAAAGTTATCTGCACTGTTCGGTGTGTCTTGACCATAAACAAAGATTAACCTAAGCTGTGTTTTGACACAGCAGGAATGCTATGCTACAAGGACAAGACTACTGGCCACGGTCTTGGTCATCTGAACCATGGAAACAGAACAAACCGTTCTGTTTGTCTAGGGAACTTTGTGCAGCTTAGAAAGTTAAATTTCCAGATAAAGAGACTCTATAAATTGGGTTGGATTAAGTAATGAAAAATGCTTTTTCATTTCCTTTTGTGATTAACAATTGTCAACAGGGCTTCCCTGGCGGTCGAGTGGTTGAGAGCCTGTCTTGCCATGCAGGGGATACCAGTTTGATCCCTGGTCTGGAAAGATCCCACATGCTATGACGCAGCTCAGCCTGTGGGCCAGAACGACTGAGCCACAGCTTCACAGATGCCCCCGTGAAGAGCAGCCCCTGCTTCTTGCAACCAGAGAAAGCCTGTGTGCACAAGGGAGATCCAGCACAACCAAAAACAGCTAACTAACTAAATAAAACTACACACACACACACACCAACTGTCAACAAACAAAAAGGAAAAGAAAATAAAGGAAAATAATCAGACGGATTAACTACACGCCTACAAAACCATCCTAAGTCTTATTTTTTAATTAAAACAAAGGAATTAAAACAAAACAAACCTCTTACCCCTCTAGAAGGTTGCACTTTTCCACACACTCCTTGCCACGACTGAAGTTCTGACAGGACAAGCAGAATTTGGGCCCAGGTCCCCAGCAGCCCTCTGACGAGCACAGCGGGTGACAGGTGTGGCCTGTGGCGCCTGAGAACACAGGGTGGGTCTCATGGTCAGACAGGGAGCAGTGGCCACAAACACACTCCAGGGCCCCCGGGAGAAGCAGGGGCACAAGGGCTTCCAGAGGCCCGCCACCAGTGGCGCCTGAGAACACAGCGTGGGTCTCATGGTCAGACAGGGAACAGTGGCCACAAACACACGCCAGGGCCCCCGGGAGCAGCAGGGGCGCAGGGGCTTCCAGAGGCCCGCCACCAGGGGCGCCTGAGAACACAGCGTGAGTCTCATGGTCAGACGGGGAACAGTGGCCACAGACACACGCCAGGGCCCCCGGGAGAAGCAGGGGCGCAGGGGCTTCCAGAGGCCCACCACCAGTCCCCTGTGCCCTGCTGGGTGCCAAGCATATCTAGATGGAGCTCGTCAGAGCTGCAGGAGCAGAAAGCGTGAGGGTCCTTGTCATGCGTGGGTGGGGCACAGAACCAGGGAGACACCCAGAACTTCACCAATCCTTTTAATTGCACTATGGTGTGAGAGGCATTATTGCCTCCATTTCATCGATGAGGAAGATAAAGCCCAAAGATTTACGTAAACTGATGAATGTCTCAAAGCTAGGAAGGGCTCAAGCTGGGATATGAACTTGGCTCTGCTTCTGCGGGTGGCCAGTATCTCAGCACAGGTGCAGGCACCACTTCAAAAGCTGACTATGGCTGTGAACTCGGATCTGGAAATGCCAGTGTAAAATGTTCAGCCCATTTCTGTATGTGTGTGTGTGTGTGTGTGTGTGAATGTGTTTAGTCATTGGGGATGGAATGAGTAGGAAGGAACACACAGCTAAAATGCCATAATCAACACTAAATTTTGTTCTGTAAATTGCCAATAACTGATGGCCTAGACTTCAAGGCAGATTTATCCTATGAGACGAGAATTATCTAGAAAAAAATCTGATGAACGTCACAACAGAATACACACATTTCCCTTAATTTGCTTCTTAGTAACGTAAAAAATAATTTAAATGTTTGAGAGTAGCCTTTCAATATTTTAAATCAAAGTAAATGACCTGTTAGAACCATCTCCACAATCAACCAAAGATATTACTCACTGCACTGTTGTTGACTCCTGTTTTTTGAAATTTTGGCATTCTGAGTTGAGGTCCCCAAAAGTTTTTTCCAGCGTATCGTATCTGCATAGCACAAGTTTTGATTTCCTGAAATTATCACATCACCATCACTTATCTCCTTGAGGGAGCGTAATCCCAAGGATGTTATACTCAGGCCGACGACCGCAAGAGAAAACTGGCCACTAAGTTGAAGAGAAAAAAAAAATATTGTGAAAAATTATGACAGCATAGTATCAACAAAAACGTTTTTCTGTACCACTTTAGATTTACTACTGCCTTCCAGTCTGTAGTCATGTAAGTCATGTTATGGAAGGTCTGTACTGCAACTTTGGAAAATTGCAAGTGTTTTTAAAGTTCCTCCAGGGAAAAGTTAGTTCCTTGTTCCTTTAATATCTCTAACTCCAGTGGCAAACTAGTGGTTGAATAATTTATTAATGTCATTATTTTATTTACTGCATTTTAACTTTGCTTGGTAATTGAGAATACGTTAACCTTTCAAATATCCAAATATACTTCAAAAATCATAGATTCAGCTTTCCATCCATCCACCTACCCATCCATCCATCTATTCATCCATTTATTGAACAAATATCTGAGGTAATATGTGACTAATTTTATTCTAACTCTAGGTTAAGTGGGTGCTTCTTGCTGTCAAAAAGCCCTTTGTCTACTGATGATACAATCATTGTTAACGCAGAACCATGAGGGTGGTGATGAGGGGACCACAGAGGCAAAGGGCAGGGGTACCTAAACAAGTCTGAGCAAGGGTCTCTGGAAGAGGTGATGCCTGAGCATCAGGACCTCCAGAGCAGGAACTATGATATTTTCTTCACTACCCAACCCTGTGCTAGGTTCCTACGAGCTGACCAGGACGTGTTCATCACATGGCCAGATGGACAGTATTCCGACTGAAGGGAAGGAAGCCTTCCACCCAGAGGAGCACGTGACAGGCACTGAGAATCACGTGCTGCTGCTGGAGCAGAAATGTAGGACAGGGGTCTGCGAGGGGAGAAAGAGGCCGGAGCCTAGACCACTTTGGGCACTGTGGAGGAGGCTCTTGTTTGCAGTGATGGGAAGCCACAGGAAGGAGGTGTGCGTTGTGAGGAAGCTCATTAAACACCAAGGCGGGAAACAGACCAGCTGAGACAGCACTGGATAGAGAGGCTGACGATGAAGGCACGAGATGACAAAATGTAACTCCTCTTTCTCCTTGTTTCTCTTTCTCTGCCCACTCTTTCCTCCCTGTATCCCTCCACAGTCTGACTTCTGTGGGTGCACAGTCTGCACCCCTGCTTTTAGGAATCCCTTCCTCTAGCCATATGCTCAGGGGAGCCACGCCAGTGGGGACAAGGCTGAGGTCCTCCCTGCAGGGAGGTCTGGCAGGGGTCACACTTCCCCAGGAGGAACTGTGTATCATTGGACTGCTCAGCAAATGTTATAAATTAAAAAAAAAAAAGTCAGCTTTATGTTTAAAACCCTAAAACTAAGCTGAGAGGTACATGCTAGTCAACCAAGAAAACTGACTGAAGTCTCTCGTCTCTATATGAACTTTGGTCACAAGAAGTATTCCTGAGAACTCAGGGCACAGGGTCTTTCTGGCAAGTGATATTAGCTGCATGTTTAGCATCAGAGATGCAAAGCTGGAATGGCTTTTGGAAAGGGATGCTTATTTTACACGCACTGTATTCTGATTTTCTTTAATACTGCACAATATTATGTAGCTCTCTCAGGTGTCAATTATGGGGAACAGTTCTCAAAACCAGATGGTTTCCAAGGCAGGTTTGAACAAGAGTCCCAAACTTTGCCTCACCACAAAATTCATTATTACCCTTATTATGTTAAAGATGCTTGTGTGTGTGTGTGCATGCGTGCATGCGTATGTGTGTGTGCATGCATGTGTGTGTGTGCTGGAGCTGGAAAAGTGGAAATCTTGAAAGACATGCTCAGTGCCTCTCAGGTCCCCTGAAATGAGGTGCTGATGAGGACTGGTGGCCTTAGTGCTATTCTTGCCAACAGTACAAAACCTCAACCAAATCAGGAGAAAACACTGGCCATCCTACAAATGCCTGACCAGTACTTTTCAAAAGCCATGAAAGACAAGGAAGACAGAGGAACTATCACGGACAGCAAGGGACTAAGGAGACATGACTGTCCCTTGCAGTGTGGGCTGACCAGAACAGAAAAAGTGTTCATGGAAAACTGGCGAGATCCGAGAAAGTTTGCAGTTCAGTTACAGCCATGCTGATGATGCAGGGTGTCACCACCGGGGGAGCCAGGTGAGGGTGTGTGGGGACTCTCTGTATTGTTTCTGCAGCACTTCAGTAGCTTTCACTTCAAAAGAAAAGACTCTACAAGTCGTTGGATGGGGTCCACTTACTGCTGCTTCGTTCTGCCACGTATGATTTCCAGGTTCTCAAAAGCATCGAGGTCAGTCCTGTTTTCGGGCCAGGCCTGAATCAGCAAAAACCCTATAAAGCAGAAGGAAAGTTCAGACACATACCACTTAGAAATTTCTATTTTGCATGAGACATTATTTGGAGAAGGAAATGGCAACCCACTCCAGTATTCTTGCCTGGAAAATCCCATGGACGGAGGAGCCTGGCAGGCTACAGTCCATGGGGTCACAAAGAGTCGGATACAACTGAGCAGCTAACACACTTAATGGTACACACCTGTAATTTCTTTTACAGTTTTTAGAATGTCCAGCTCTTTCGGGTCCAGAGGAGCCGTATGTGTGAAGGAGTCACTGAAACAAGTAACAGAGCCGTCAGTGACAACCTGCCGTGAGCAGAGCAGAGCCTGTTTTTCTGCGGTATACCAGTAACTTGATCTTTACTTACCCCTTGAATGCTACCGGCAGGATATGAAGATCTCCACTGATGGATGTGCAGTTTCTGTAGTGTTTAATGTTTGTAGCATTTATGGAAAGTGTGCCTTTAAACTCACCGATTCCTATTCCGTTACAAACTGTAAAGAGAGGTGTTTATTCCATTCACAAGTGTTGAATCAGTAACAGCTGTGGTTCCTCAGGGAGCAGGGAGAGAAGTGCAGCCGAAGGAGTGGTCGCTGCCACGCTATCCTGCAAACACTGCAGGCTCGCCCGGGACCAGGGGCCAGAGCGGGGTGTGGGGTCACAGTACAGGAGATGCCATGCCTGTCCTCACTGAGCTTGCCTTCTCCTCCTCAGCCTTCCCCACCTGGGCCACAGTCCAGCTGCCCCTGCGGACTCCAGCTCCTCCTACACGACAGCTGCCCCCAGGGCCGTTGGTACTGCACGGGGATCACACGTGTGCCCCCACTAAACCCTCACTGCCTTCCCTTGCCCTCCTCTGGGCTGCAGCTCAGTTTTCTAATGGAAAGAAACAGTATGCATAAGTTTTTTAACTAAAAGAGTAAGACGCATCCATGGAAGAAAACCTTGAAAACAGGGAACAAAGAGGAACAAAATGACTAGAAATGCTACTGTGTAACTTTGATATTTGAGAAAATTTCCTTCCAGTTATCCTCCATGGTTATGTCACACCACATATGTAGCTGTTTTTTTTTTTGTTGTTGTTTTGTTTTCACTTAGTATGCTGCGAACATTGTCCTATCAGTAAAACATTGTCCTATCAGTAAAACCATTCACAAGCATGGCATCACCGATGCGATGGACATGAGATTGAGTAGGCTCTGGAGTTGGTGATGGAGAGGGAGGCCTGGTGAGCTGTAGTCTATGGGGTCCCAGAGAGTTGGACAAGACTGAGCGACTGAACTGAAATGAACTGAACTGATATCATAAAGAATACTATAATAAGTTTTATCAGAAAAACTGCTTTTCTTCCACAGGGCCTACTTAAGCCACATGCTTTGATCTCTGTTCTACTGTGACATCAGTCTCAGATGCCTTTTTCTGCACTCTGAGCTCATTTATTAATTTATATCCACTCCCTAATTTCTATCTTAAATGTCATCTCCCTCTGAAGCCCATTTATCTGTTGTGGCTCTACTTCAATCACCGATGCGATGGACATGAGATTGAGTAGGCTCTGGAGTTGGTGATGGAGAGGGAGGCCTGGTGAGCTGTAGTCTATGGGGTCCCAGAGAGTTGGACAAGACTGAGCGACTGAACTGAAATGAACTGAACTGATATCATAAAGAATACTATAATAAGTTTTATCAGAAAAACTGCTTTTCTTCCACAGGGCCTACTTAAGCCACATGCTTTGATCTCTGTCCTACTGTGCATCAGTCTCAGATGCCTTTTTCTGCACTCTGAGCTCATTTATTAATTTATATCCACTCCCTAATTTCTATCTTAAATGTCATCTCCCTCTGAAGCCCATTTATCTGTTGTGGCTCTACTTCCAGAATCCACAGTGCAAATTTTGGTATCTCTCTTTCAAACTTTATCTTACTTTGAAGAATAATCATGGAAGATCTTATTGTTCAGGGTGAGGTCCCTTCCCCTTCTCCAGGCCTCACCAGGGACATGGTTGCCCTGTTTCTCCATCTCCTTCTTCTCCATTCTGTCTGGAGTCCTCACTGCTTGGGCTGCCACCTGGCCATGGGGCCCATCCCACCAGCCCCATGGGATCCCAGGCTTGCCCCGGAATGCATATACCTCACTGTGGGTCTGGGAACAGGGTGGCGAGGCTTGCTTAGGATTCCAAGGCTCTGGCTGACAACAGAATGAGGGGGCTTCAGCAAAACAAGCCCTGAGGCAGATGCCTGCTGATGGGAACTTGCCTTTTAATTACAGGTTTGGAACAGAATTCTACATGTTTGAGAGAATATTCATTCTCTCTCCGCTTAGGCGTGATGGTGATGGTGGGGTTACCTTAATTTCTAAATGCGGAGACAAACTGTAATTCACCTCTAGATCTAGCAGATCTGGAGGAGTTGTGGACCATCAACACACATGTTCCCACCTTTGTTTCCCAACATCGCCCTACACAAAGGGACCTCAGTTGGCCACTACTCCAGGATTTGAACTGCGGGTGGGTAGAAAATAGAGCATAATGATTATAGGTGAGTCAAAATGTTTTCTGAGCACAAAATTAACAGTCCAAAATCAGAAATAATCTCTGCTTTTATTGATCCATTTGAGGATGCTGATAGTAACCCTCTCTCTTCAGTGGCTGAACTCTTCCTTCCTCTCCAGGCACCACTTTATGCCTTATTTTCTTCCTTGCATGTTTCCTCTGTCTGAAGATTTCCTGGAGCCAAAGGATATCCATTTCTCAGGGCACTGACCCGCCTGCCACACTGGGAGCGCATGGGTCTGACCTCAGACTGAAGCCCTGTGAGCTGTCCCAGCTTGTCTCTGCCAATCCTGGGCATTGGTCCCTTGGCAAGGCATTTAGATCCTCTGTGATACAGTGCCTCACCTGTAAGGGGGATCGTAATGGCACAGACCTCCTAACAGGGCTGAGGGACTGGATGACGTGGAGCGGGAAGGCTCAGTCTGCTTCTGAAAGAATGCATGGGGCAGTGGTCAGTGTCAGCTGAAACCACAGACACTTCTTAGGACGGTGGCATCTGAAGCAGATGTTCAAGTAAGCTGCATTAAAGCTTTTTTTATAGCAGTAAAATAGTGGAAACTAATGACCATATAGGTCATGGTAGAGGGACTGTGGACAGGGTTAGGGGCGTGCCCAGCAGCTGCAAAGCAGAATAAGGAAGATTCACATGATGTTATCTGCAGTGATCTCCAGGGGATGCTTAGAGTGTAGATGTGTCTTCTGTGCAAGTGAAAGACGTGTCCTGGGCCTGCCACGCACCCAAAGGACCTGGGTGCCAGCTGGGGAGGCTCCCATGGGCCACATGGGAGATAGTCTGGACATCAGAGTGAATAATGTGAGGAGGGATTATCATAAACTGAATAAAAAAGGGTTTAGTGAGCTCACATGGGTACTAAGAAAGTTACTTTGGGAAACAGAATTGTCAACTAGTAAATGTAGAAGAAATGACAGAAATAGGAAGTCATTCTTACAACCACTAAGAAATCTGACTGATGCAACTTCAGGCGAATCATCAGTTCTTCCATTGAGGTGGTTTAATCACTCAGTCATGCCCAATTCTTTGCAACCCCATGGACTGTACCCCTCCAGGTTCCCCTGTCCATGGAATTCCCCAGGCAAGAATCCTGGAGTGGGTTACCATTTCCTTCACCAAGGAATCTTCCTGACCCAGGGATCAAATCCAGGTCTCATGCATTGCAGGCAGATTCTTTAGCACTGAGCCAGAGAAGCCACAGAGGTAATGAGATGAGACCTGTGTCCCCCTGGTGGGACACTCTCTACCTGCAGTGCTCCATCTGCGTCCCGCCCCATGGAAAACATGATCTGACCAGACAGGGGCGGTCGGAGCAGCTGGCCTTGACTCCTCACAACATCAGAGGAAAGAGGGCTGAGAAACGATCCTGAATTGATGAAGAGCCTGGACTTTCGATTGAAAAGCGGCTAAAAAGGATATATTGGGACAACAGGGGAGTTGAAATTAAACTGAAAACTAGAATCAACGTTAAACATGCGATAAGAGTGAAATTGTCTTTTGTTACTTAGGAGAATATGTCCTGTTTGTACAAAAGTGTGTTGGTGAATGCAGGGTGAAGTGTTATAATACCTGTAGTCCTCACAGGACTCAGAAAACACACAGAGAGACACAAATGCGGAGAACAATGTGGTGGTTACTGAAAATTGATGAATTCAAGTGCAGGGCATATGGGTGTTCATTACACTATTTTGCAATGCTTCTGGGTGTTTGAAAAATGTCAAGATAAAAGATAAAGTGCAGGAAAAGAAGGGATAAATTGGCATTGAGGACACCCCAGGGATAGAGCACAGCAGAAAGGAAGGGACATGTTTCCGAGCTTGGAGACTCCCTCAAATCTGGTCTGAGGATGATGCTGGCAGTCTGGGGGCAGGGAGCCCAGCCATGACTGGAAGCAGAGAGGGCCCCGTGCCCACACCGGGCAGCTTCCCACCTTTGCCACAAGGCCCGTCACACTTTTTACACTTGCGGACACCATCTTCTTCTACCTCCTGGCTGTCAGAACTGCAGGCGCGGACGCATGAGCCATGGTCTGTCACCACATAGTTACCTGGGGGACAATGAAAGGAAGGTGGTGAAAGCAGCACCAGGTGTTCTGGGCATAATGACCCTTGATGATGGGTGATTCTCTGGTTCTGTTTACTTCAAGGAAAAGAAAGAAAGGCTGTAAACAGAGAGGAGTGGGGTTCAAGGTGTTCATGGCCTCCCTATCAGGCTGCTGCTCACTGGTGACGATGCTTACATTCAGGACTCACAGCTGAAAGTTTAACATGTATTTTAAAAAGTCACCCGAAACAAAGACCACACTTCTCCTGGCCACCCTCATCCCCTCGGGCCTCTGTGGGTGACTGGGTACACACTGTGCCTTGGCCGTCACTCAGGAAGAAGTAACTTGTGTTCATAATCAACTTTTCAGGAACTCTCTGTTTCTTTTGACTTCCCCAAGTGGATCCTCGAACCACTGGACGTTTGTCTGGACGTTTACTGGATATTTATCACTTTCCTTCTATAAATTGTCTGCTTTTGTTCTCTGAGGCTCTGAGTGGTTTCCTGTGGATTTCAGATTGTCTCAAAGATTATATCTGTGTCATAATTGTGACAAAGTTTTATCTTGTCATTTACCTTACAATGCCTTATCTGTGGGTTTTTTTGTTGCTGCTGTTGCAAATTTTAAAAATTTCATGTTCACAAGTCCGGTAGTGTAAATCTCACCTTCATAGTTGTTCTTAAAAAATTTTTTTTTTTTTTTTAGTTAATCTTCCCTCTTGAAAATCACTTCCTCTACTATGAAATCACTAATGTTGCCATTTCCCTAAATACTAGGGTCTCCTGTAAAGCACAAATAAGCAAAACCCAAGACCCAACAATTAAACAAAGCCAATCGACAAGCAGAAAACTCTTCTGTGCTCCTAACGGCACAAACATGCCCGGGTTTTTAACCACTAAAGAAGGCCGGTCTTCCAACCTCTCTCTCATTTAGGCCTTATAAACACCTGCCGAATACAAGAGCCAAACAGGGAAATGGCCCAGCGGCCCTGGGTTTGTGCCGATCAGACCATGGAATGTTCTGGGCAACCATGCCTGGGCTCAGGACACAAGAAGCAACTGGGGGTCAGAGCGGCAGTCATCACCTCACCTGCCCGGTACGGAAGAGGATACAGGGACCCAAGGACCCCGGAGTGGGGGACATGGGGACCTCCGCAGGACACAGAGCAGAAACAGGTGCCTGGCAATGAAGGGGCTCCCGAGGGACACTCACGGGGACACTTCTTGACACAGGTGGCGCCAAAGCTGTACTTCCCCAGCGGGTTGACCTTCATCTCGTAGGTGGTAGGGTCATAGAGCATGAGTGGCGGACATGTGTCCTTGCAGGTGGCTTCATCACGGAACCTGCGGCAGACCTGCCATGGGAGGGGCGGTGTGACTGCTGGACTCCACGGTGGGCGGGGCCACAGCCCTCCGTGTCCAGGTGTTCGTCAGAGCACACGTCTAGTAAAGCACTCTCAACAGGGGCAGAAAGACTGTTCTCTTAGAAGCATGTTTTTTCTTAAATACACTGCTCCAGCTGTGATGGTTTATGGATTATGAGGAGGGAAAAACACATCTCTGTTAACTTTCAAAATAAGCAGAGGTTCACACGCTAGAGTAGTAACTCTAGAGTGAAATTATTCAACTTAATTTACATCCGATTTCCCTCCTCAACAACACTTGAGGATACATATTTGAATTTATTACCAAACACAGAGAACTTTGGCTGGGGGCTGCTGTGCAGATGGAATCAGACCACACACAGAGGGGTCCTGACCGAGAGCCTGGTATTGCCTCCCTCCAGCAGCCTGGCGGAAGTGGCTCAGACCAGTGGGATCCAAAGCCCAGGGCCCCTCCAGCCTCTGGAACATTAGTTTCCCAGGTTCCTAAAACCCATAGACTCTTTGGTGACACTAGAACTTGGTCAGGCTTTCCGCAGTAACAGGGACTACAGCGAGGGCTTCAGCACCCTCATGGGGTGGGGAAGCAGCAGGAAGCATCTGAGCCAAGTAGAAAGAGCAGAGGCTTTAGAGGCAAAAGATACAAATGGAGTCCAGCTGTCCTGCCACTGAGGATCTGTGTGACTGCCTAACTTCACTGGGTACATTTTAGGGGTCCCTGCAGCCTCAGCTCTCTAGGTTGTAATGAGAATTGAGGGAACAATAAATGGTGGTGATACTGGTGTTGGCCACAACAGACATGAGGGACAAATAACACACAGCTAGTATTTGGCTCTGGAAAAGGCAATGGCACCCCACTCCAGTCCTCTCGCCTGGAAAATCCCATGGGCGGAGGAGCCTGGTGGGCTGCAGTCCATGGGGTCGCAAAGAGTCGGACACGACTGAGCGACTTCACTTTCATTTTTCACTTTTGAGCATTGGAGAAGGAAATGGCAACCCACTCCAGTGTTCTTGCCTGGAGAATCCCAGGGACGGGGGAGCCTTGTGGGCTGCCGTCTATGGGGTCACACAGAGTCGGACACGACTGAAGCGACTTAGCAGCAGCAGCATTTGGCTCATTCTATGCCCTGGTCTCAGGTGTGGATGTCACATACATTGTGCCCTTTAGACCATGGAACAGTAGGTGAGGTCACATAATTTACCCAAGGTCACCAACTAGGTGGTGAAGGCCGGTCACTGAAAGATGCTTTGTTACCTGGCGGCTGCAAACATCAGTCAGCACATTTCAGTCAAAGGGAGGCCCCTGAACTTCGGGCCACAGAAGCTGAGGTGTGTCTTACCAGGCAGTCACTCTCCCGCGGCCCCGTGCAGCCAGCGGCACACTGGTTGTGACAGCAGTCGCTGGGGGACCTGCCACGGCAGCGCCCGGAACACTGCTGGGCACAGATGATTTTGGTCACTGAAAGGAAGCAAAGGCCATCGTGAGCTGCAGGGTCAGGAAGGTGGAAGGATCACTTCCCAGGGACCCTGCAGAGCACTTGCAAACGGTGATGAAAGGTTGATAACAAGGATAAATTTAGTGAGTCTACGCTGAAATTCCCAAACATTCATGTTCTGCTAAACTCAACTATCTTGATCTTTCTTACTGTATGTTTTCTTTTTTCTACGTGTTTCTAATCACTCAGGAGAACTGACTCAGATTAACTCTGGACTTTCAGACTTGTTAAATTAGAAACTGACAAGAATTGAGTTTTGGGGTAATAGAAAGGATGCACAAATAACATAATGCCTGCCAGAAAGCAGTGTTTAAAAGGGCATAACAATCACATCACCATTTGACTTAAGGAAAGATAAAGCTGACAAGTCCCTAGATTTCCTGGCCATTCATGGTCTTAAGCTAGGATTCCTGCAGAAAAATCTCCTTCAAGAAGCTGCTCTTGCTTCTCTGGAGGTAGGTAGGTACCCAAAAGAGGGGCAGGAAGGGAGAAGACACAAGAGGTGTGATGCAAGAAACACAGACAAGCCTCCGTTTCCAGGAAAACCAAACCTAGTGTTCAGAGAGAATGACTGCTGCCTGGATGGCGGGCCTGCACTGATTCACACCAGGCTGGAGTGCCAACACTAGCCCACGCAGGGAGATGTGCAAGACTGTCATTCATATAACGGCTAACATCTGGCCTTAAAAATCAACAATGCCTGGAGTCTTCAAAGGGAAAACAAATATCAATACCATCAGCCAAGTGTAAGGGGAGAAGGTGGCCAGTGAAATTCTGTTCCTGACTCACATTTCTGGCAGTTCTCCTTCCCAGCACCCCAGCAGCTTCCATTGAGACAGACTGGATCACACTTCGGGCCTAAAATATAAAAGTAATAGTTAAATTCATATCACGGGGAAAGGGAACAAGAAACTGATAGCACCTGCTCAAGCTTCTTAGCAGAGCTACAGCCAGAAACAAGAGCTTTCAAATTCCTTATTCTCTGCTTCTTCAACTGGTTGGTTTGTAAGATGATTTAAAAAGACTTTCATGAGGAAAAAATCCAAGGGACTTAATATATGTCCCAAAGTCTCCTACAGTCAGGAGAATTCAGTCTCTGGGAGAATTTCAGTTTTAAACGGAAGAGATGATTTGCCAAGTGATTGTGGGATGAGGGCACCCCTTCAGTATGACCAGCAAGGTTTATAGTTGATCCCAGGGGTGAAAGACACTAGTGCAATGCTGGTGCTTCTCAAAATCCTGAAAGATGGGAAGCTGAGCCCCACACAGATGGTGTCAGTCATACATTGGGAGAAGAGACAGACAGACAGACAGAAAGAGAGAAACCTAAGAGGAAAGAGCAAAAGTAACAGGTAGGTATGTTCAGTGTGGTTATGTCTGTACAGTACAGATACCACATTACCTTTCCTTTTTACCCTATATGTCACCATATTTTCAAATTTCTATTATAAGCATATAAGTTTATGAAAGAAAATATTTAAAATAAAAATGTTTAATGGCATCTTTCCATAACACAGGAAATATTTACCAATTAAGGAATTCAAAGTTTGTTTATGATTATAAACTTCTGTGACAAAAAAAGAATCATAGACATTATTTAAAATATGAGTAACAGAAAAAAGGAAAAAGAATTGAGGATCATCCAGAGGTAATCAATATAGGCATAAGTATAGCTATATATAAGAATTAATATCACACTACACATTGCACTATAACTTAATAATTGATAATACATTATGACAATTTTCCATGCCTTTAAATATCCTTCTACCTACCTAACATGCATTTTTAATGGCATGACTGTACCACAATTTATTGAACCAATCTCTTATTTTTAGACCTAAGTTGCTTTTGAGATTTATTAAACACAAGGATATAAGGAATATGCTTGAACAAAAATATTTTTCTGCATCCCTTACAATTTTCATTCCTCTCATTTTTTCCTTAACATTCTTAGACATGATGTTCATAGGCCAGAGGCGTGCATACTTTAAAACTTCAATACATATTGCGAAAATTAACTTATATGCCCACAAGTAGACTATGCAAATTTCTGTTTCTTTGCCAATATAGGTATTGAAAAATCAAAAGGAACCTATGTCTTTAGCAAAGGCAAAAATGATGCTTCTTAATTTTATTTTAACCATTGTAATACAGTGACAAATAATATTTTACTTTATTTTTGGCTGTGTGTGTGTGTGTGTGTGTGTGTGTGAAGGGGAGAGGGGAGCTGCTCATGTCCTTGACCCACTTTTGGAGAGGTGGTCACATTTTCCTTAGGATTTAGAAGAACTACCTTACATAGTCACATAGCAAGAATATTAACCTTTTCAAGGCAATTAGATGCTGTGCAGTATTTTCCTGTCTGTCAATAATGTTTTTTTATATGGAAGTTTTCTTTTATAGTATCTAACTTTGGATTTCCTTCAACTTGATATTATAAATATTTATTTTATGTTCCTTTCTAGCACTTACATATATACTCAACATTTGTTATGTTTAACATGCATTTGGAGTTTACAATGGTATATGAAGTGGATTATAGATTTATTTCAATTTCCTCTTGAGTAAACCTACCCATTCTAACTTCAAATTCCAAACTACATCAATAATAACATAATATTAAGTAACTTTTCTGTCCATAAAACACTTAAATCATCTTATGAGATTTTTTGGGTAAAGATGAAATGAAACAAGATCTCAGAAGTCATTGTGACCTGAAAGTGCCAGTTGAGAGGAGCAAGATTCTGAATTTGTCCCTGGTCAGGTAACTAATGAGGAAAATACAGGTCATAGGTGAAGGGTGATTTTGTAATTTCCAATGTGACTAACCTAATATTCTTAGTTCCTTTAAAAAAAAAACTGTTAATAGTTCTGTCACTTAGATATTTTTCCTTTAGTAGTTACATCCAGAATAATATATTAAATAATTAATTCTTTTCTTATTTGCTTACAATGTCATTTCTTTATGGACATTTGATTCATCTAGGCTGTCTTATTTGTCTATGGCTTATTTTTATATGTCTACTCTTAAACCAACACCACCTTGGTTTATTGCTCACAGCTTTGTAATATTTGAATCTTATTATTGCATAAACCTGTTCACCATTTGTCTTTCCCAACATCGTCTTGCCAGGTCATTTCTGCAGCTATGGTGTGAAGAGGGCAGGTGAGCTATTTTGGGTGCCTGATTTGATCTGCAGTAAACCCATATTAGGCTCACAGCCTTCCCATGTCAGTTTTTATTGTTGTTGTTGTTGTTGCAAATGTACACAATTTAACCTCCCCACTGGTCATCAGATGCTGAGCAAAGGCTAACCTCCATCTCTGGAAAATGCAAAATTCTACACTGTAAAAGAAAGCTTTTGCTTTCTTGCAAGCAAAGTAGGTCAGGTGGGTATCTGTTGGAATAATGCATTTACAAAATCAAAGGGCTCAATGCCCATGTTCACAGCAGCATTTTGTCCATAATTGTCAAAAGGTGGAAGCAACTCAAGCAATTCAAGTGCTCATTGGCAGATGAATGTATAAACAAATGAAATATTATTCAGCCATATTAAGGAAGGAAATTCTGACACATGGTCTAATTTGGATGGCTCTTGAAGACACTGTGCTCAGTGAAAGAAGTCAGTCACAAAAGTACAAACTTGTCAAATTTGTCACAAAAGGACAAATACTGTGATTTCACTCATATAAGACACCTAAAGTTGTCTAATTCATAGGCTGAAAGTAAGATGATGGATGCAAGGCCTGGGGGTGGAGAGTTAGTGGTCAGCAGGGACAGTTTTAGTTTGGCAAGAGGAAAATACATGATTGGTGGTGATGGCTGCACAACGATGTGAATGTACTTAATGTTACTGAACTGCACACTTAAACATGGTTAAGATGGTAAACTTTATCTTAAACATATTTCATTATAATTAATCAAATCAAAGGAGAAAAAGCAGAAGTCAAAGCAGCTTTAGTTGATTTTTAAGATCCATATCAGCTTCAAATTCTAAGACCAAAAACACCAAAAAGAAAAAAAAAAGGACCCATGCATCCACTGCACAGTTGTAGGAAAACAGAGAAGCAGGAAATGGTGATGGCTTCTTATTTTAAAGGCCTGAAAGGTGAGGGAGATCAGAAAGGGAGCAGGCTACTTGGAAACTGGGGTCTTCAAAGTTTCCCACGAGGTATGTCAAGGGTGCTAACAGGAAGCCTTGACCTGCACAATGGTCCTGGCTAGCTCCTCCCTTGCATGGGCTGCTTTTTTGATGAATAGTGGGGACTAGGTCATGGGCACTAGTTAAATATGGACAAGCTTACCCCTATGTGCTCCTTAGTTCTGCTGGGCACTCCATCCATGTGGGAGTGCCCAGGACCTATGAGCAGGAGGGCAGAATTAAGCCTCAAAGCTTCCACAGGGCCTGGTGCCGCTTTGAGCCTCAGCAGAAAATCGGAAACTACAAAAGCCTGATTAGTTTCCTAAAACAGGATGAGAGAAGCCCCTTCCAAGGCCGGCAACAAGGGCCTTTCCCAAAGCCAAAAGAAAACCCAACCGCCCCGGCCGGGGGGGGGGGGGGGGGGGGGGGACCTGTCAGCAAGTGAACTGTCACCATGAAAAACAGACCTATTCCTCTATCTTAAACAGGTGCTCTTCTAGTGAGCATATAATCTGTTTACTACTTATTTTCGCTGTAGATTCATGTAACTTAACATGAACTCTGCGTTCTCTGGCTCGCACCCCAACTCCACAGCTCCGCCCTGCCTTATGAGCTGCAATCCCGGGGTGAGGGTTGGGGGAGCACTGTGGAATACTTACAGTTGCTCAGCTGGTTCTGAAAGTCCCCTGTCATGTTGCTTAGAAAGTCAGGGTTGACGATGTCCCGCCACTGGATGGTCTCCACGTTGCAGAGGACAGGGTTGTTGCTGAATCGCACGGCACCTTGCAGAATTTCTGCATGAGAAAGGAACCCCCATGAGCAAACTTGCCATCCCTTCTAAACTCTTGTGAAGTATGCATATGCTTCTTCACATTTTGCCTTCAGTTCAGAGATGGCAGCATGCAAATGAGACTCCCTGGAACTGCAGTGGGGCAGTGGAAAGTGAGCTGATGGATTTCTCTATGGAGGAGTTGGGATTCCTCTGCACTGGGTCTTTGAACAATGAATGACCAGAATTGAGAAATCTGGGGCCATGGGAAGATAACCCTTTGGTCATGTAGCATGAATGACAGTTATACAGTAAGTCGGTGGTCCCCAGGGAGGCTGGCTGGCCCTAGCTGGCCCAGAGTGACTGTGTGATGACAATGTGAAAGGGCAGATGGGACAGGAAGGGTGGGTGGAAGGGAAGATGCTCTGAGGAGCTTGGGGAAGCGGGCAAAGTGGAGCAGGAAGGATCTGTATGTGTGATGAAGAGACTGGATGGCCAAGAGAAGGCAAAGACATAAAACTGTTCAACTGCTCAAAGGAAGAGCTGGAATGACATGAAACACTAGGGCCGATAAGAAAACTTGAGCAGGAGCAGAGGGCAAGTATTCCCCCATGACACTTATGCAAACATTTACTGAATGACTCCTGTGCACAGAACAGCAGCGAGTGCTGTGAGGTATGCGCAGATGAGTAATTCTTGCTGGCTCCTCTCTAAGAAGTGACAAGCATGTGGGGGGCAACGCACAGTCAATAACCTCCTGTTCGCAGAGGGCCATGACCCATGAGGAGGCTGGCACTGTGCCAACTGGTTTACATGCATGCATGCTTAGTCACTCAGTCGTATCTGACTCTGCAACCCCATGGGTTGTAGCCTGTTAGGTTCCTCTGTGCATGGAATTCTCCAGGCAAGAATACTGGAGTGGGTTGCCATTTCCTCCTCCAGGGGATCTTCCTGACCCAGGGATCAAACCTGCTTCTGTTGAATATCTTTACCACTGTACCACCTAGTAGTCAGACATATGCATGGCCTGAGCTATTCCCCACATGGTCCTTTGACTGTAACTCAATTCTTGATATGTAAGTAATGCCAAGTATCCCAGAGTGCGAGAGGACACAGAAAAGGAAGAGTTTTTCTGGGGAAGCTCTTTTTGACTGTTGGAAGGAATGACATTTCTGGGAAGAGAACATGTGGAGGAGCCCAGATGGAAGTGGGCTCTGCGGGTTCCAGGCGGACAGACAGCCCCAGCAGAAGCCGTGAGGGGCCAGGTAAGCAGTTCCTTCAGCAGATGGCGGGGAGGGTCTGCAGAGTCACAGAAGGCAGGCTGGGGGTCGGAAAGGGCCGCATCTTGGAGCTTTGGGTGTGAAATCAGAGATGACAGCTGGACAACCAAGTGAAAAGCTTCACTCAGGAGGGAGCCAGGGGCAAGGGATAAACTCAGGAGAGGCCAGAGCTGGAGACACAGGAGAGCTGGGGCTGCAGGAGCCTCAGGAAGACAGACCAGGAACGGGAAGAACAAGGGGACAGCAGCAGATGAGCAGAGGCCCGTGTTAGTCATCAACCGTTGTTGTTTAGTCACTAAGTCATACCTGACACTTTTGCGACCGCATGGACTGTAGCCTGCCAGGCTCCTCCCTCCATGCGATTCTCCAGGCAAGAATACTGGAGTGGGTTGCCATTTCCTTCTCCAATAACAGTATGTAATTCATGTCGAACAATCCAACTTAGAGGATTATTTAATAAAATTAAATAATCTGAATTGATACAACCCCAATACTCACAACCGAAATAATACCAAGCACAGAAACAGCTCCCTGGGGCTTTATCTGCAGTAATTCACTTAATCTCCTCAACAACCCTGGGAAGTCTGTTAGCACTGTCCCCGCAGCAGGCGCGGGAGCCCTGAGGCCATCCCATGAACGCCGAGCCCAGGAGCTGACCCGGACGCAGGCTTCGCGGCGCTCGGACAGTCAGCCCGCCCTGCAGCTCAGCCTGGGGTCAGGCCCCCTACCCGAACTCCCCTGCCGTGTGCCTCCGCTCCCATCCCCCTTTAGGGTTGGCCCCAGCGCCCATCAGAGCCGCAAGCCACGGGGGAAGGTTAGGGCTCTGCCGCACGGTCTGGGCGGCCAACGCTGGCCGTTTCCTCACTCCTGTGGGAATTCAAGAGGGTTACTTTGACCATTTTGTTTTTTTTTTGTAAAATGGCAGAGCAAACCACTTGCTCTGAAAGAAGGTTAGGGGCATTAAGTTAAGTTGCCAATTTAACATGGCTGGCACTGTACCTGCCACAATCGTTATCTTCAAATTTTAAATCGTTATCTTTATCTTCCACCGTTTCCTCTCACAGGACCCTCATAGGTGCCCTCCTCACAAGAATTCAAACTTCACCTGTAATACCTTTATTCCCTATCCTTACAAACTTAAAAATGGCTTTCTGTATAATAGCATTACTCTGGAAAATGTCTCAGACAGCAGTTGGGTTTTTACTCTTGGTGCCTTATGCACGAGGTCCAGGCAGTAAGACTGGCGGACTACCTGAGCATTCCAGTTCCATCATCCGGTCATACTCTCGTTTTTCCAGAACATTTACCATGTCTTACTAACTCTCTGGATACTTTTCCATGAACAAGGCAGAACCTGTACTTGGCTTAACTCTTCCCTTCCTGCCTCATCAACTACTGTCTTCTTAGAACTTCCACTCACTGTATCTTGCATATGGCTGGCATGCAGTACATCTGTGTGTCATGAATAAATGTCTTCCCTGAGTGGAATTCAGAAAAGCACCCAGTCTTTTGAGTACCGTCCGAGTCACTCTTCATATCACAGCCTCCCGTTCCTGCTCTCACCCTGTAAGTTTCTCAAGGGCAGCTCCCTCAGTCCGGTTTTGTTTGCTCCATAGTTGGATAAGACCGCTAAGGCATGGGTGTTTTCATAAAGCACATTTCCTCGGATGATCTGCAGGTTTTCCAGCGGAATCTTCTCCACTGTGTTGAGGGCAATGAGTACATAGCCAGCAACCTCCTGGATGGTCTAAGGAAACAAAACATGAATGTATTATTTCTCTTTGGAGGAACTCATGAATGCAAGATCTAAAGTGGGTCCAGAGAGCCCAGGACACCTAGCTGAGCAGGAGTGGTTGACGAATCATGTAGATGATTAACACTGGACCCCATGGGAGGTAACAAGATTTATAGTGGTTCCTGCATTTTTGCCTCTTGAGCTTGACAACAGTAACAATGGACCATGTGCATTACTGAGGAATGCTGTGACTTTCATTTTGCCTGGTGTTTAACAGACTCAGCAGAAAATGGAAATGTTTTATTAATTTATTTTGTATTTGTCTTGCAGGCTTTCCATCAAAAACAAACAAACGCAGAAGAAAACCAATCAAATCCTAAGTTTAACTACACCAAACTCAGAAACTTTTAAGGCTGGCTCCTATTGGCTCACTGGAGCCTACTGCAAAACATATGGGAGTTTTGTGAACTAGTTTTTAAACTCTTGGTAGCCAGAAATCAACCGTAGCGGTTGATTATACCAAGAAAACAGGCAAGGGCTACAAAGCAGGTATTCTTTTTTTTTTTCAAACACAGCCAGTATAGCAGGATACCATGGCTGCACTGCTGATTAAAAGATTAGTGTCCACAATGATAGCAGAATGCCAGGCTAGTCTGTTTCTCTTTGCTATTCTCTTATAGCTACAACTTGACACTATCTGGTCAAGTGACCTTTTCATAAAACTTGCATGCATAATTTCCTTATGGTTTGTAATTGCCACAGCAAAAGTAAATACAATGTCAATGAAATTCTGCCAAGGCCTTATTTACTTATATTTACTTCTACTGTATTCGGGTAAGGATCAAATTCATTGAACTAACCTTGAGAAAAGAAAGGTTGTAACTACTCTGCATGTAGGTAATTTCCAAATTCCCAAGGACCACCTCACAGTTGTTGAACATCCTCTGGAGGCTCAGAAAGTGGTCTTCAAAAGTGCCCAACTGGGTGAGCTTGTTACTTGTCCCTTGGCAAACTGGAAACAAGGGAAAAAAGGTATCACATGAAATAAAGTAGAAAAACTAAAATAAAACAATCTTCACAATCTTCAACTAACTGCACGCTTCAGTGACTGAGGATAGTAATTCTGACTGAAGGCCACTCAGGACAAACATGATAAACAATGTTTAAAAGTTTATATAAGATGCAGTTCAAACTAAGGACTAGTTCATCTTTATAATGCAACTGTTTGAAAATATTAAAAATTCAAGGAGAAACAGATGAAAACCCCTGGAAATCTTTGAGACAAAACAGTCTATACGAGTTTTAGTAAAATGCACAAAAAAATAGACAATAATTGTATATTTACAATGTTAATAAATATATAATGAACTTTTACTTTGCAAAAAGATAACATGTGACATTATTATGCGTTGAAAGACTATTTACAAACATAGTTTCCTACCACAACTTTGTACAACCTAAAATCAATAATAAGAGTGTAAATTTAAAACCATTGACTGGAGACAAAAAATATGCTAAACTGATGCACCAAAGAATAAAATCAAATATTATATAAAATTTAGAAAGTAACATGAAAACACACTTGGTTACTAAGAAACCAGCATGTCTTTGTGTCTGCCACACTCTAAGGAGCCCGCCACCCAGGTGGAGGTGCAAGGGTTTGGCATCAATCGCTGGGATGTGGCCTCGGCACATTTAACGCCCTGATGTTTTCAGCTGTCAAACTTAATATAAGAAAACATTTTAAATTGGGGATGAAGTCAGACTATGAAAATACATTTGGTAGTCTATATTTAAAAGTAAAGGAGAGGATTATAATAAGGCCATGTTTATAAATTAGCTCTTTGAACAACATGAATAGACAAGCATAAGAAAACAAAGAGGTTTGGGACTTTTGAAGCAGGGAGCTGGTAAGCGACTGTACTTTGAGCCAAAACTATCATAAGTGAGGAAATATGGCCTCTGGCTTTGGAGGTTTGATTCAGACCTGACCAGGCAGGGCTGCAATCTGCAACCAGGTGGTTGAGCACAAAACCAAGAGCAGAGTCAATATGTGGGGACTTCCTGCGGAACTCTTCCCAAATCTGCATTTCTGTTTGACAGGCTCTTTGCTCCCTCCCCACGGTAGTGTTCTGCAGAGCATCACTTGACTGCCTGCTCTTGCATTTTGGTGCCAAGGCACTGAGCACATGTTCAGACACCACATAATGAACGTGAAGCGCTTACACCACCATTAACTATGAAGCAACCCTTACTTCCTCTTTGACTTTGTGGGGATTTCCCTCTTCTCCCCTTCTGTGGTCTCATTCAAATGTGGTAGTAGAGAGAACGCTCACAAGGGAACTGCAAAGGCTCACAAGACACAGCCCCCTGCACTGGCTCCAGGGCACAGCGATTCCATCACTCTTTCCACCATAACACAGGATGGACCCAGCATCTCTGGCTGCCTTCCCTTACGAGTGTGGGCTGCTCTGATTGCGACCTCAAGTTGGAACCGCTGTACACAGTTGGCTGCAGTGCATGCACATGAGGCCAGACTGATTTCCCAATTCTAAGGTTCTTAAAGATGCCAGCATCAATGGAAGTGCAGGATTTTCACAACAACAGGTGACCTTTCTGGCACACCTTGAAACAAAAGTTGCCATCCAACTGATGGACTATGGTCCCTAAATTTCAGCCTAACTGGTCAGCTCTGGTCTAGGCAGCCCCAAGTACTGGTCATGCCCTTCAGGCCAGCCAGGTGACCAGTGATGAGTAGAACTGAGTGTTGGAGCACGTTTCTGAAGGGTTTCTTCTGTGCGCAGAAGGGTGAAAGCAATCACATATGTTTTCATTTTAAATGCTCAAAGATATTCATTTGTAAATTTCTCTTGGCTGAACTATTTTTATTATTAAATTATGTGAAAATGACTTTTGTCAGTTAAAAAGGAAAACATGTCAGGTAAGTTTACCCTGTTAAAGAAGAAAACGATGGCAAAAGGACTACACTTGTGTTTTTATTTATTCTTTCAAAAAGTGCTAAATGAGCACTGAAAGGATTTATTTGATGAATACCTACCATGACCCTTTGCTATTTACAATTATTATAAGTTACTTTTATATTTAAAAAAAGATGCTATATTTGGAAGACAATAGCAACATTACACATTATTGATATGAATTTAATTTGTAAAACATTTTGGAAACAACTGAGCAAACTGTGCATACAAATAAATATGCTTAAAGTCTATGTCATGATGATTCCACTTTGGAAAACCTATTCTAAGGAAACAGACCTAAATTTTCATGCAGAATGTTGATATTTTTTTAATAATGGCAAAAAATTGCCCAACTGCCCAACATGTTTATTCTCAAGAAAAAGCAGCCAACATACTACTGGACTGAGTTGAAGGCAAATCCATCTTGAGTCCTACTCCTGGGCTAATGACTAAAGTATCAACAGAAAACATGACAAGGCTGCTTATTCTGAGGCTTCTCTGCCACTTTGTGTGTGGCAGACAGCAGGTCTGGGGTGAGGATGCAAGTGGCCTGGCCTGGGTTTCTTGACTGAACAAGGTATTTGGTATACATACCAAATATCTCATGTTATGTAATATAGAATATTTAAATGTGAGACCATTAAATCAGTAATATTGAAAAATAAAAATCACTAACTAGCGAGGCAGACTTAAGGCAAACTGAGAGAGGGAAAGCTCCGCGCTCAGCCAGGAGAAAGCTTCTGGTCAGCACTTCCTCTGTACGCAGACTTCCCGGGGCTCCGCAGCACAGTTTTCTCAAATACAGACTTGGTAAAATCCACTCTGGCTTCCCAGAGCTGTTCTGAGAAGTGAATGAACACAAAAGCTTCGGGTTTCTTTTGTTACAGCTAACTACTCGGAACTGTGACAGCTGCCTTGACATAAGGTGTGCCTGGACAGAGCTGGGGACTTCTGTGGATGTGTCCTTGTCCTGCAATGCTGTGTGAACTGGCTGCATTTGGTTGGCTTACTCAAATACTGGGCATTAAATAGAGTTACTGTGTCAGAAGAATATTTATCCAATGAGAAGAAGAAAGAAAAAATAATGTATTGTACTTTAAGAATTTCATTGAAATATGCATTTAGGATTAGGTTTTTAAGCAATTTTTATTCAGAGAGAAATTCAATATTACCTTAGGCTAAGCCTTTGAAAACCAGACAATTAAAAGTGTTTGTGTCAAGCTCCATACAACATGCTAGAGATCTGCTTTCCCTCCTGCAAATCTGATGACAAATTCTACTGAAACAAGAAGGGGGCCTTCAAAGCACTCAGCTTTTCATCTTCACAATTTATTATGATGATTCATAAATGGACAAAAACCTAAAAGAATTGTACTGTGAACATCCTTAAAGTAGCATTTTATTATGTTAACTTTAACACATACATCCATCTAATTTTTTCTGTGCATTGTAAAGTAAGGCGCAGATAGCAGTACCCTTCATCCTGACATGCCACTGGTTACAGTTCAAGATAACTGACGGCGGTTGTTGAGGTAACATCACAAACTGTGAGATAATCAGTATTGTACTGTGAACATCCTTAAAGTAGCATTTTATTATGTTTACTTTAACACATACATCCGTCTAATTTTTTCTATGCATTGTAAAGTAAGGCACAGATAGCAGTATCCTTCATCCTGACATGCCACTGCTTACAGCTCAAGACTACTGACAGTGGTTGTTGAGGTAACATCACAAACTGTGAGATAATCAGTAATAAGTGCAGCACTGATGAGTTTCAACAAACACATGCAGCTGTGTAACCTATACTCCTGTCATGCCCAGAACATCACGGTCACCCTGGGAGCTCCTTCACGGCCCTGCTCAGACACCCCTGCCCCAGACACCGCAAACTGCAGATGTGCTTCCAGTTAGGGCAGTTCTGCCTGTCTGGGGACTTCTCACAGAATCACACGGCACCCTAGGTACCAGGGTTCATGTGGTGTCCAGAGTCAGGCTGTTCTCGTTCTGAAGAGCCAACCCCACCCCCCAATCTATCTGAATTGAAAATAAAACAGTCTGCCTCCTGTAAGTCCTGAGACAGGCCTGATTTGACCGGGAGAGCCTATGGTTTTCCTGTGTCATTGTGGCGGTGCACCGCTCTCTTTGCCCACAAGCCCGGGCAAATCTGTAAGGCTAAGACATAACACTGAAACAGGTCTCTCCAGATTTTCCCAAATCCACTTAGATACTTTCGGAATTGCCTAATTGTTTTAATTTGCTTTCTCTATGCTTTAACGGCAGCCAGGGTCACTGGGCACTTGCAAAGCTCTCCCCGTGGCCTCCAGAACTGTCTGTTTTTATTATTGCCTCATTTGCCACAGAGCACCTCATTTTGAAGCAGCAATAACATCACACTGCTCTGGGTTTGGACCAGCGGGGTTTCCCAGGGCCGCAGCGCGGAGGATGGGCCCCTGCCCGCGCCCCGCCCACCACCTCTCCCGGGCTCCCTCCCCCGCCCTCTGGTCCAGCCAAGCCGCCCAGTTTCTTCCAGCCACCAGGTTCCCGCCCCCGTCAGGGCACTTCCATCTACTTGGAACACTCTTCCCTTTCTCCTCAGGTCTTTGCATTTTTGTGTCCCTTTCGTCACTGAGATTCTACCTCAGTGGACATGACATCCCTTCCGAAAAGCCTGTTCTGGGACCAGTTCAACTTAAGTCCCCACCATTGCATTCTATCACATTTTTCTGATTTCTTTTCTTCTTAGCGTTCATCACTACTTAAAGTTATTTGTTTATTATGCAAATACAAAGAGTGGGGAGAGGTGGAATACACACATATCTCCTTGGACTGACTGCTGGGATGTGAATACACATGTTGTGTTTACATTTTAATGAAAGCAATGGGCTGATAGTGGTCAGGTGACCAGAGTCTTGGATGACTTGACACGGATCTCTCAACCTTTCCTGTTTCTGTGTCTGGTGGTAGAGAAGGAAGCAGGATGTCTCAGAAGAGTGTCAGTCCTCACAGCTTTCTGGTTGTTACTGTAAA